GAATTATGTGATATTACTGAACATAAATAATGATATTATAGGTGAATTGGCCAAAATACAGAAAAAGTCAGTAATGACTAATAACATATTACAAAATTCTAGCTATACATTTCAAAATAAATATATTCTAGCAAACATAGGTTTCACAAGCAAAATACAAAAATACCAAATAAACTCTTAGATTGAACTGTGTGTTGAAATTTCGCCATATAATTGTTCTAGTCTTAATGAAATCAAGAGTATTTTTTTGTCACATCGTAGACAGTTGTCGTGCATCAGAGGATGTACACAAAATGTCCCTCAAGTCCTGAGCTGAAGACTGCAACCTGGAGCCTTTACAGAAAGACGAACTTGACAGGAACATTAGAAAGCTCTGTAGGGTATTTTCTCAGTTTGAAGGCAAGGGCATTCATAACTAAACAGCTCATGACAGATGTGCCCAATCTTTTCTTAAAAGCTTCTGATGTGGAGATCCTACATGTTCCATAAGTAATCTATTCTATTGCTTAATTACCCTTAAACACTTAATTTTTTCCCTAACATTTAATTTAATCTTATTTGTCACAGTTAAACTAATTACTTCTTCTCACAGATCCTCGAGAACAGTTTGTCTCTTTGGACAAAACTTCATATATTTGAACATTTGCATCTTCCTGCTCTACATCCTAGACAGCTTCAATCACTTCAGAAACTTTCCTCATCGTCCACCTTCTCCAGAATGCCTGTTTATTGCCTTCTCTTGAATTCAATCATCTTACATCCATCTTGAGTTCTCCACACAAGTTGACTTGTCAACAGTGACACATTACAGTACAGCTTTGTTAGTCTTATAAAAGATGGATTATGTTCCATCACAAATCTTGCTTTTCCTTGGTGCTTAGATGAGGTTAAACTCTTTTGCAAGGTGTGAAGGATGCAGATAGCTCCTTCTAGAGCAGCCAAAATGATACTTCCTTTACATGCTACCAGGCACTGCCCAGCTGTGCCTTCTATTCAGCATGCTCCAGCATCATGTCTTGTGACTTCAAAACAATGGTATGGGAGCTTGTGTTTTTATCCACGGTATCTCCAGATCCTTTTCTAAGAACTAGTGCCTAGCCCACAGTTGTCCCTAGCCTTGTAGCATCTAGTTATTATTTCACTTTTACCAGACCTTTTTGCCTCTTTGCCAGAACTACCCTGAATTCTGACGTCTTTGGTTTTTTGAGCCCCCCACTCCAACCCACCTATAGACTCTTCCTGGCTAGGGATGCTTGCAGATTTAATAAAGATGTTCTTTATTTCACCACCAAACCCACCTATATCACTTAGGACAGCTTCTTGAAGAATTTCACAGTGGTACTTGTCAGGAATTTAAATAATAAATAATAGTTTCCTCTTTATTTAAATAGTAACCAGGCATTTAAACAGTCTAAATTTCTAACCCATCTTTACATATATTGCCTATAAAGGTCCCAAGAAGAAAAATCAAAGTCTTACAGGTTGATTTAAGCCTTCTCTGTTTAAGCTTGCGGCACAAAAACAAGTGCCCTACTTTACAGTAAGATCCTGCTTCCCAGTGCTGATAATCAAGACACATAGAGAAGACCTACAGGAAAGAGCACTGGACTGACTGATCAATCTAAAAGGTCCAAGGCTGCTCGTGCAAAGAAAGAACCATCCAGCCAAATGTCAGAATTTTCTGTTGAACTCTTTAAGACATGAAACACTGAACCTGGGAGAACACCTGAGTGCCCTTAAGCCAAGAACTCAGGCTTGATTGCCCAGCTGTAGTTAGCTTGGCAGCATGACTGAATGCGGGGACTGCATCTGCCCGTAGCAGGAAGGTGACTGACAAAAGAGATTCCACTTAAGTCTGTATGTCATTTTTAAAGTATCTAGAAGGTTGAGGTCTAAATTGCTATACCAAAAAAAGGGTGTCAACAAAAGGAGTATTTTAGTAGTAACGAGTTTATTAAGGCTTCTGTTTACTTTATGAGCTTAGAACAATCATGTGCATTAAGTATTTATTTAACAAGTGAGCAACACATTTGCCAAGGAAAAACCAGGAAAAAAGTTTTACCTGAGATACCTTCTGGCATGTTCATTTTTGTGGCCAACCATGAGATAGTAGCATCCTACTGCAAACCATGACACCTACACATTAAAATTAAAATAGAATATTATTAGATATATGACACGGATTTTTGTGAAACATCACCATAGGTGATGCAAAACAGAGGAACAGATTATAATTAGAGAAGTTAGGAACATTTTCACTGAAATCACAGTCAGCTTTGAGTTATTCAATATTACAGACAAGCTAGAACTGCTGGCATGTACATCTCTAACTGGTTTCCTTCAGCCTCATGAAGAGAGTGCTAAGTGGAAAGCTTATTGCTGTCTTCAATGATCTAATAGTAGGGAATACAGAGGACAGAGCCAGACTTTTCCTTTTACTCAAAAAACAAAGGAAAACAATTTTAAGTATAAAGGTGATCAAACATTGGAAAAGATTGCTCAGAGAGGCATATATACTGAAGTATTTGTTTTACATTATTATTCAAAGTTAACACCTCACACTGAATATATTTTACAGGTACTCTGTTTTAAAAGAAGAACCTCGGTATAAGAAAATTACAATGCATAGAAAATGAGTGAAACATTTTCACTGGCTCCATCCAGAAAAAGATTTTGAATTCTGAAGCTTAGATTGACTATTACATTACAACTTTCATGTGCTTTCACCTAGAAAAAACTACCTGGTAATGCAGGCTTAGGGCAACTTACAGGATTATTTGGATACAAGTCCACCAGTTTGTGAGAAAGATAGAATAGCTCTACATAGTGGGAAGAAACAAGAAAAGAAAATTAAAACATACTAAAATATTAAGATGTTTCAAGCCCTTTAGCCTTCTATACAAAATATCCAGAACATCTAGCATTATTAATGCACAAGTGAACAAAAATGTTTTCTCTTTAGTGGTAATGCTTCAAACAGCCTCAAAATAGATTCAGTTTTGCAATTAAATAAAAAAAACCCCAAAAACCAACAAAACCCAAAACCAAAAATAACCCACACAGCACATAAATAAGCTGCTATCCATCCCATCCCTTAAGAATTCTGCAACAACTTAGGTCATTAACATACATTAAAATAAATGCCTGTAGTATTACACTTGAATATATCTTGTCAAGGTAAAACACTACTGAACTTCCTGCATCTAAAAGATATAACACACTGGCTAGATCAATTTCAAAGTAGAGTCCTGTGCATTAATATGCTGAAAACAGGACAAGAGCAAATAAATTAGAATTATTCCAAATAATATAATAAGTGATTACTTTTCTAATAAAAATAATAATTTTAGTTACTGGAATAACTTACTACAGATTTTCTAATAACAGCAGAAGTAATCAGATACAGGATAACAATTCTATTGCCTATGCAATTTCAAAAGAAATAGCATTATGGTGCATATAACTTCTATTTCTTCAGAGTACAGATCTTTTAAATTGATGAGTTTGTCCTGGAGTACTTTCCATCAGTTCTGGGGTTCACAAATTTCAAATATGAAAGTTTGCTACAAAATACCAACTTATTTACAAAACTGTACATTTACAAAAATGCTTCCTAAGGCAGACTTAGAAGAAAAATCAGAGTACTGGCTACATTTTCAGATATAGTTAACTATAAAGTAACCGAAAAGTACATTTACTAAACATTGAGAAGTACTAGTACACCTAATGACCTATTTGTGTACATACAATACACCATCCTTTGAGAGACTGCAAATCATATGAGCTCCTTATTGTATTTTCCAATTGCTTTTAAGACACTCAAGCTCCTCACTTGATTTGGATGTTTATATGCAGTCTGAAATGAGAAAAAGCCATCCCAGCTGCAAGTGAGCTATTCTTGTAATTCCAACAAAGGTGCTACATGACTATTAACTTGTTTGAACTAAAAAGAGGCCTTCACAACAGCAAAGGCAAGGAGAGTCTATTTTTTTTCTAATATGGAAGAAGCATGTCCACCTAAGCATATACAATGCTGAAGAGTTCCTTCTAGTTTAAATTAATATATTTCATTTTGCTGTTGAGCAGAAAAAGTACACCTAGATATCCTAGGAAGACCACCTCAAAACAAATCAAACAACAGAAATGAAGCAGTGTATCTCACTAACTTCCTGGCTACACAGATCAGTGATTAAAAGACAGTGACGCTCATCATCGTGAATGAATAAAGACCTTTTGCACAACTATTCTCTCCCAACCCCACTATTAGTTCTTAAACTCCCTTTGCCAGTTACCACTGTTTTCTGGAATTATGTGGGTAGAGCAGATACAAGGAAAAATATATGTAATTTTTTAAATGCTATATAAGGGGGGGTTCTTGGTATCCTTAATTCTTTTTAAAATTGAAGTTTACAGTCATCTTTTGACTCATATGAAATGTTGTGTTTCTTACCATTAGCTTTATTAAGCTCCACAAGTGTCCCTATATGCACAGGTAAACAATTTGCATGGAAAGGATCTTTTTCCATCACTCTGGAAAAAAAATAAATGCACATTTCAAAAATGTTAATGTTATAAGCAAGCTGCTTTTATAGTGTGCAATGTTCCAGCTAATCACCACTTTAGGCATTGGAAAATTATTTGTGACTAGAAGGTAACTATTAACAGCATAATAAAGGCTATATTAAGACCAGAAAAATAGCTACTAATTTAGGTTAACAGAAGAGGATAACATAAAATTCTGGCAAGCTGAAGATACAATCAGAAAAACAGAATACAATACAGATTCGTTTGCAGGTCCCTTCAAATTTAACCAGCAAACTACATATTTTAAATACGTAACAATTTGATAGCAAGTTTCGTGTATGTCAATGCATTGAACAACAATATTCCCTGTAAGTCCAGGCATAATTATTATATTCCACCAAATGAGAGAAAACCCTCAAAGTTGCTTTGTATACTTACACTGAAGTAAGCTTGTAGCACATTTTGAAATCACAGTTATAATAATGTCTTTCAGCTAAGGATACTACCACATCCAGATTTTCCTGAAGACCATCTACTGATTCAGGAATCAGTGTTTCACTGGGTTTATTATACTGAAAGACAAAAGAAACAACATGTGAAACAACAACCAATCTAAAAATCAGACAGTATAAGTATTAATATGCATTAAGCATCTTAAAATTCTTAGTTTTAAGCTGAAAGTCCATAAAACACATATTTGACAAAATGGTTTTGTATAATGTACTTAAAAGGTCATTTAGAAAATGAAAGAGGCTTGCCAATGTCAATTTATTAAGCGTAGGCTGTAGAAATGACTACTGAGCTATATATAGTTGGCTTTTGGTGCTCTCCCATTATCTTTGGAAAAAACTAGTCTGGAATAATGATGCTATATCCTAGTATTTTCAGCTAACTGACATTTTGTCTACATTATTAATGTTCTTTTTCCCCACCTAGAGGTTTGTCAGGAAATAAAGCTAAAATTAAAAAAAAAAAACAAAACAAAACACAAAACAGAATTTCATGTTGTCACCACACCAGAAAAATAAGTTTACACAAAACTGTTATACTACTCCCATAAAGTGTATCTACTGCATCATAAATTTTAAAATAACCAAAACTACAAATCCCTTCTTTACTCCAATGTTCCGAATAAATGGTATCCAAGAAAATTTACATGTGAAGTCAAGACTTTCAATCAATTCTCTAGCTTTTCAGTCAGTTTTGGGGTTTACCTTTTTCAATTTGTTCTCAAATAAAAAGTGAAGCAATTCTTGTTCTTCTTCTGTACATTGTCTACTAAGAGGTAGAGATTCAAGAAGTTCTTTTTCTATGTGAATTAAAAATAAATTGAAGTGGTCATATTACAGAAGAAATAACAAGATCCAACATTTTAAAAATTGAGAGATGCAAAGAATTTTATGATGCTTATCCTGAAAGTACAAGGAAGAAAACAGTACCAATACACTAAAACAGATAATACTAGTAATTATGGAAATTCATGATTGAATTCTTAGTTTTTCCTTCTACACTTTTAAATAAGATTTAATAAAGATAACACAGTACTATTTTTATTTACTCTGCATGTCATATTTTATCACTCAGAAACGCTATATTAACCAACGTCTACTAAAACTAAGCAAACACTAGTAGGGTTTTGTGGATTCAAAGCCCCTGAAGTTGAGAACACTGGAAAAACACCAATTAGGTTGTGCAAAGAGTGTGAGAGGTTCCAGAGCTAACAGACAGGACAGCTGGGTTACTTCTTTTAATTCTTAGCACTATAAGACTGAAAAATAAAGTTCACATGTAAATCTGAGCAGATTGTAACTTTCACTCATTTCATACATTTTCTATTCTTAACATTATAAAATCTGTTACTTGTAGTATTGCTTTAATTTTTATCCAAGAAAAAGGCATATTGAGAAAGCAGCTAAATTTTACTTGTATCTGAGAAATACTGCTATCCAGACCTTCTTGTGCCGTCAGCATATGGTGCGATGTTAGAAGATCAAATGCTTCAAAGCAGTAAACATCAAGCTTCAAGGCCTCTTTGTAGCTGTATGTTGCTAGGGTTCTATTATCCAAAGCATCATAGATCTTCCCTCGCAAAAGGCATATAGAGCTCTTGATCTGGTGGAAAAGCAGGGCTGGAGGTCAAAGACTGAATCAATGTTTGCAATTTGGTTTTGAACACAAATCAAATGGGCTTCCTGAAAAGTAAAAAGCATTTCATGTATGATAGAACCTGGTTTTCTAGTGATGTCTTTAAATAAAATATTGTCTCTACTATCTTAAAAAAAAAAATCAAATGAATGCTCTGTCAGGTTATCGACTGCCCAATGAACACATGCTTGAAATAAGTAGAAGGAGGATAGAGTTTATCTTTTTTACTTCCAGCATGCAGCTCTTATACTCAGTTGTAAGCCAATTATACTAAATTTTCATATGCAATATAGGGAAATTGTCACTTCACAGAATCACAGAATGATGGGGATTGGAAGGGACCTCAAAAGATCATCCAGTCCAATCCCCCTGATGGAGCAGGAACCTAAATGAGATCACACAGGAAGGTGTCCAGGCGTCACTTCCAAAGGCAATTCATTTCTTTGTTGAGTATTAAACCGCATATTTCATGCAAGACAAGAATGACTGCAGCAGAGATGAAAAAAGGTCAAATCAATGGACTCAACTACTCTGAGCAGAAAAATATATGTCTTTCAATCCAAAAAATAGATGTTTCAGAAATGAAAGTAAAGACCATTATTACTGTAGTTAAAGTTGTGCTAAGATGTCTAATAACTAACATATTCTTTCAAAGCTCCATGGATTAGTGTTCAATTCTGACAGAAGGCTGTGGAAGTGTCAGCAAGTTACCTGCAGAACGTTAACACATTACACATCTATGCCATCAGACTAACTAGACAGACCAACTCTCTCAGAAGTCTGCACCCTACAAACAGTACAGCTGCACTAACAACTAATAAACCCCAGGGGGCTGCTAAAGTGGTAATATTGTTACCAGCTCAGAGAGCAGTCATTCATGCTCTGGAACTACTACTATCTGTGCAAACTAATCAAATTACCTTTGAAAAAGCTACAGTCCTAGAGAGAAGTTTGATCTCAAATTTCTTGTAGCAGTACCCACTTCAGTAGTTCTCTCCTTTGGCAAACCAAACTCCTCCTTGCATCAGGGAAGTACATGATCACAAGCATTTGTGAAGGTAAGAACTGATGAAGTTGAGTTTTTCAGGCTGGGTTATTTTTCAGTCAAAATAGTTTCCCTATTTACTTCAATGATCAGCCACCCCAAACACCTTGGCCAGAGTATGATGAAAAGAGAGCAAGAATGAAGAGCCAAAGCTGAGGAATTCCTCCTTTCCTTGCAGTGGTAGCTTAAATGTTCCCAGTAAAGTGCACCACAGTGACTCGGTCTAATCCACTTCTCCCTTAAGCCCGTTAATATCAGCATTTGAAATCAGTTCACATCGATGATTTAACTCATTTTACTACTTCAGTCTTACAGGGAAAATGCCACCTGTCAATCACCTTCACTGTAGTTTCAGGTAGTAAACTTCAATTGATAACTGTGAAAGTAAAGTCTCTTCAGCCTACACGTGGTACTGATCCCTTTTAACTGCGTGCCTAAATAGAATTCTTTCACTGAGCTTCAAAACCTTTACATGACATAATTTTCAACTGTGATCAAAAAATGACCCACCGAGAACAACATTTGAGTGATTAAGGAAATATTTCATTTAAAATAACTGGAGGAGAAGAAAAGTTGCTTTGTTATGTCAGAACCTGCAGCCTAATTGAAAGAAATGTTAGTTTACATTATCAAGACTGAAATTGCAGCGTAGAGCTAAAAGACTCTCAAAACCAATGCTAGATCATGAACTTCCTGCAAAGCACCTGCAAATAATTTATAGGAAGTTGTTGAAAACACTCTCCCTTTTTCAAACCAAGTTATTTACATGCAGGCAAGCTAACACATGACTTCTGACTGACAAGAGAACAATTCAGCATTTTTGAAAATTAAGTTATTCAAAAAAGAAAGCTTAAACACAGAGCTTCAGATTCATACAGCTGTAAAATCATTTTCTGACTTCACACTTTTTTTCTCAGTTATAAAAATATTTGTTTGAAAAATGTCACTTACAGAGGATTGTGACATCTCCCAGTCTGTGGTAGAGTCTTTCAATCCACTTTCATCCTTCAAGTACTTCTCAAAAAGTCTTTTGTTGATTGGCTCTTCCATATCAAGAATATCCAGGGCCTGTTGATGTTCTTTTGCAGCATACTAGCCAAACATGTGCATATAAAAAATAAGGTTGGGATTTGAAACATCTGTACATAAAGCACCAATAAACACAGCGTCACATTTCAAAGGCAAAGATTATAACAACCAGTGCTTATCAGCAGGTTTTTCATGCATGCATATTCTTATTTGGACACATGTCATTTTACAATTGCAGTCAACTATTTTGCTAGTCCTCTATAATATGCAAAAAATTTCAAATACCTACAGAAAAATCTATTATTCAGCATTATGCAATCACAGAAGCAGATAGGCTTCTAAAACTAGTTAATACAGGTTTTAATAAAATACAATGATCTTATTCTAAAAGCAGCACATTATTCTGTTTCGAATTTCTATATTTAACCTACCAATTGAATTGTTTTTTTTCTGTGAAAGCACTGTATTTTACTAATTATGTATCACATTTTATACAGAAGTATAAAGCTGCTAACTATATTTATGGAACCATAAATTACATCTCCTTTGGTCAGATAACAACCAACCAATTAACAATGTAAACATGAAGATATGACATAAAAATGGTTCACATTTTTTCCCCATAAAACATTAGAGGAGTATTTCTGTTCCTGGAAAAAAAAAATTGGTTGCATTTCTTCAGAATAGTACCACAATGGATACTCCAGCAACCAGAAAGAATGAAATCAACTGTCACAACATTTAAACCTGTTGTTCCAATGAACACAAACATCTACATTGCCTGTCAGGTACCTAATCTTCCCAAGATGCATTTTTTATTTAGTTTGGTTTGTTTCCAACAGAGGTTAAAACATGTACTCACATGACATCTAGCTGCAAGGTAGCGACACGCTTCATATAACTGAAAGAGAAGTTTCACACACGTTAGTTATAACAAGAGAGCATGTTTACTTACACTGCTAGACTCTGTTTTGCTCTCTCCTTTTTCAGCTGCATGGCTGCTTCATCCCTTTCACCTCCAAAAATCTTTCCTTGCCAAATTGACTAAGTCTGTAACATTTTCTCTACTATTAAACTCTCAAAGAACACTTGCTTCACTCTTGCCTTCACCACTCATTAGCACAGTGGGAGGACAATTTAAACAACCACACCTGAAGTGACACTACACCTTTCCACACCTGCTGCAGTTACATACTTGGACCACTTCTCTTTTCCGTTACCCTATCGGCGGACAAGAGTTTCAATCTGGCTGATTGAACACACGACTATGCTTGGTTCAGATAAACTCCATCATACAGGTTTTTTAATTACTTTTCCTATAAACCTTATCCTCTGATGGTGAAGAAGTCACTGTGGTTAGCAGCAGAGGTTTAAAAGTGGAATAAAAGTAGTAAGTCTTTGACTAACATGACTTACCTTATCCAATTTACGCGATCGAAGGGCATGTGCTGCCCTATGATACTGAGCTGTTAAATAAAGACATTGGGCCAACCAGTAGATATCTTGTGGTTCCTCTAAAATAAAAGAACAAATTATAAAATATTAATTTATAATATATCTTTAAACACTTTCATACAGAATATTCACTTTTGCTTCACTAGGAAAGTATTATCCCCCTACTCTAGCATCCTATTGAGTTACAAAGGGTTTATATATATATATATGTATAAACAACTTATAATATCTATTAGTAAGAGATTAAAATGAAAAAATAATCATATCTTAATGACATTCATTGGACAGTGAGTACAAAAAATCTCGTATTAGAGGTGTGTCATGAGAAGGAGACAACAGTGATAAAATCTAAAAAAAAAAAAAAAAAGAAAAGAAAAAGAAAAAAGAAAAAAAGAAGTAGCAGTTGCAGGTTACTCTGACCTTGGACAGAGCAGAAAAAAAAACAACCCAGAAAGAACTGTCTCTCAAAAAAGATCAGTGGGAACATAACAACAGTGAGAGTGAAAGCATTACACTTCTCAGCTTGAAGTTACAATTGCAGAAGCACATCTTGCTACTCTCCTACTTTATTGGCAACCAAAGTTTTCGTGAGATCAAGCCCCTAGAATCATTTTAAGAAGCGTAAATGGTCCATGGCTGTAGGCAGACATAGGCTACCAGCATCACCTCACTCTGTAAACCTGCATTCTACTTGTCATCCAGAGCAGCACTGAATCCTATAGGAAACCACTGTTGTCTCTTGTAGCTTTTTCCCCCTCCCATGCCTCCCTCAAGGTAGGCAAACCTTAAGGTTTGGCCAAACATAAATTTTAATGCAAAGTCCAAAAGGGAAGGAAGATTGGCCCTGCTCTATTTAGAAAAATTGCATTGCAAAGATCACAGAAAAACACTTACACCAAAACTTCAACATTTAGCCACACAGCCTGAAAAATAACTAAATAAACAAAGCCAAAACAGAACACTATCAGAAAGAAGTTAATAAAAAAAAAAAAAGTAAAAAGTAACTACTTACCATGAGACAGTGAAGCTACCTTGTCTGCCCAAAACAGAGCACTTTGATACTGCTGCTGTAAAAACATGACAGAAACAATTAGTATTTATTTGGGGTTAGCTTTCCTGGATTATTTTGAAATATATTGTACATCATTCACATTTAACATCTCATGCATGTAGTCTCTAACAAACAACGATTCACATTTGAAATCCTCTTAAGTTCAAAACAATGGTTTAAAAGGGCCAGTACTGTAAGTTCTAAACGATACAAAAAAGTAATTTGAGGCAGGGTTGTTCATTTATTTTCAATAAAATGCAGATATCTTTGACCTAAACATATGCACTACATAAATATGGCTATAGGTTGATCTGCTATCACTGAAAAAGTAGCAAGAATCCCCCCCTTCCAGTTAAAATAATTGCTACATTTTAGGAGAAAGAGAATACTCTATTAGAAAAACGACATATAAATCACTTCTGGAAACTTCAGCAGTATCACCTCTGATTAAGATGTTTTCATTGTCCAGTCAAGATGCTTTAACCTCACACAAACCATAGGCTCTGTGTGAATTTCCCCTGATTCTTGGATACACAGTTTCATTGTTAAGTCTGCAGTTCAGAAGAAGTGAGTGAAACATAGAAGACGGGCAGCAACTAGAGGTCCAACAGAAGCAGAATTTGCAGGTATATCCCACTAACTCAGCTAAGGTTGCCAGCAGATTTGGGGTGCTAGGCAAAACCTCATAGAATTGGGTAGGATTATTCTCTGAGAAGATCAGCGGGGGTTACCATTGTTCCTTTTTATCCTTCTCCATGCTATGAGGCATAACATGCCTGCCAGGATCTGCTGGATGTTTAACAGATATCCTGCCACAGCAAGGACTTGCAATGCTAGAAAAGCCTTGACCACTTCTCTTTCCTGCAGTATTACAGTGGTGGAGTTTGTGTACAATCTGAGAGACCATTTTATGCTTTTGGAGTAGAGGTTTGGCAGACTTTTCCAAAATGCACACTGATGGGATTCTAGTCCTCACAGCACACTATGTATGCTCCATGGCCTAAGTGATCTCTTCTGTCCTGTGTTCCCACATTTACTACCTGGTTGGGATTAAGAACAGCCAGCAAATTTGCCAAGGCAATAGTTTGGTTTCCATCCGCACTCCCAGGAAAAAACCAAAACCCCACCAAAAAGACCCAACCAAAGCTCCACATACGTAAGAGCTGTCTACAAGACCTGATGTTTAAATAAATCTCTCAGCACCACAAAAGGAAGGCACAATCCAGGCCTACAGAACACGGTACAGCTGCTGTTGAGCAGTTCCACAGTACCAAAGAGTGACTGTAGGACACCACGGAGCAGTCTCGTGTTTGGCCTGATGCCCCTTCCTCGGGGCTGCACAAGCGGCCATAGCGCTGTGTGCGTGGCCAAGCGGCTCACTGAACCAGTTCAACTCAAACAATGAAATCCCCCAAATTAACTGAGGTCCCCAATCAATCTTCAGGTCAGCCTTGCTGGCCACACACACAAATAAACGCTTGTGCTAACTGAAGGGACGGGTTTCTCTCAGCAGCGAGGCTCCTCTGAAGCCTTCGAACTAGAAACCGAGTAGAGCAGTTCCCTGCCATACTTAATCTAATTTATTAATGCATTTTCCCCGTTGCCTTGTTTGTTTGTCTGCCCTGTAGCAACATAACTGCTGAATCCAGCACAGAGGAAAGCAAGCCCGCCCTTCAGCCCCGCACGCCGGTCCGACGGGCACCGCTCACACC